GTGACCAGACGAGAAGAACTCCAGAGCCATGCTGGCCAACGCTTTGCCTGTAATGTGCAAAGTCTGCTGGTAGAATGATGCTTGGAAGCCAATGAGACCGGGAGGCTCATGTCAAACACTGCCTGTTGGATATCCATAATGGTGAAAGGGCGAAGCAACGTCATGAGCTCAGAATGGGTGAGCCTGGGGAAAGAGAGCTTGGGCATCCTGTCTTCGTACACTGAACTGTCCTGCAAAGACAAGTTAGCAAAAAACTCACAAACAAGATTAGCAAGCTCGTCAGGGTCCACCACCCAGTTCCCTCCAGCATCGCGCAAGGCTTTGATTTGATTGCACCTTCTCTTAATGTTGACCTGTTGATGGAAGGACGCCGTGTTTCTTTCACCAAATTTCACCCAGTTATCTCTTGCTCTTTGATACCAGATCAACTCTTCCTGCTCCAAAACCTTGTCTAGCTTCGCCTCTAGCTTAGAGTGAAGTTTTGCAAGACAAGGAGTAAAAGCATCCGCGAGCATATTCTCGATCCCCTTGATCCGAGCCAGCAACCTGCGTTTCCACTTCTGGATGTTGCCAAACACATTCCAATTCCAAGAAATGAGCGTGTCAGCTAACGCAGACAGGGCACTCGGTAAGCTCTGGTTCTCCTCCCATGATTATGCAAGAAAGGGCAAAAGATTAGGGTGAGTGAACCAAGCTACTTCAAATCTGAAGGGACGAGGACCTGCAGGAGGCTGCCCCTGAATGGCAAAAGAGGTAAGAATGGGATTGTGATCAGAGTGGAGTCTCGGAAGATGAAGGACTGATGTCTTTGGAAAATCTGCGTTCCATCGGTTATTGCAAAGGCTGCGATCCAGTCTGCTAGCTTTGTACGTACTATGGAGGCCTCCTCTGCTCCAAGTAAACCGAGGCCCACTAAAACCAAGATCAATCAGCTCAGCCATATTAATCCGGTCGTTGAAGACCCGACATCTCCTTAAGGTGTTGGAAGAGAAAGGACCTGACTTCTCATTTGGAGACCTGATAGCGTTAAAGTCTCATGTGAGAAGCCACGGAATATCCATCTCTTTGCTTTGCTGCAGAATGTTCGCCTAAAGGTTTTGTTGGAAACCAGGTTGAGGTGAATCATAAACAACGGTTATCATCCAATGCTTACCACTCCCATGGGAAATGCGCAACGAAATGTGTTGATCACAGGTTGAGAAGAGCTGAGTAGAGAACTTTCTTTCATCCCAAAAAATCCAGATGCCTCCCTTCCTCCCAGCAGCTTCAACTCTGAGGACATTAGGGTATCCAAGCTTATTATAGACCACGTTAGCCGAATTCCCACTAATCTGCGGCTTCAACAAAATAACAAAGTCAGGATGGTAGGATTCAATCGTCAGTTTCAGCGACCTGGCAAAGGCCTGACTGCCCGCACCACCCACATTCCAAGCCAAAATCTTAATGGAATTTGGAATTGACATGATAATAAAACATAAAACCGAGGCGAGATAGGGGAGGAACGTTGTTCCTTTCCAGAAGGTGTAAATGAGTATTTGCTAAGAACTAATTGATCTCAATAAATATAGTTGTTGGGAGAAGATTAATTATGAACCTTATACCACTCATACACACTCCCTCAAACAAACTCATCGGATTAAAGTTTGCACATGTCTATCATACCTTGTGTTTTTTAATCAACTGTTAATATTTTGGATCGTGGAGATTCGAACTCACGACCACTTGCCCAAATCAACTCTTATATCATGTCATAATCTAACTAGTCCAATAACTCAAGTTGTTGTGGAAGGTTAATTATGGATCTTATAACACTCTCTTACACGCCCCCTCAAACGAAAGCCAACTCATGGGCTTGAAGTTTGCACATCCCACCGTACCTTGTGCTTTAATCAACTGTTACTATTGAGGGTCGTGGAGATTTGAACACACGACCACTTGGTCAAACCAGGTCTGATAGGGGTGGGCACGTGGGTGGTTAATCCGCGGATTGATATCGATCCACCTGCAAATAACCCGACAACAGTGGGTGATTTATGTGGGTGGATTGCGAATTGATAAATCTCCCACCCGCACTTATGTGGGTGGGTGGGTGGGCACCCGAATTACCCGCATCCTATTTTCACATTAAAAATGTTGTTTTGACTACTATTATTGTTGTGTAATATCCATTAAATACTGAAAAATAAATTATTGTCAATATCCATTAAATTTTGGGATGAAAACTTTAATTTATTAATTTTTTCAAAATAACAAAATACGTAAGTTTTCTCTACACAATTGGTTGATATAGTACCAAAAGGTTTTATGCAAATACTACAGGGATTCACTTGAGAAGTGTTTGAATTGATAGAGTCTTACTAATTTACTATGAACTTATTATAAATGTTAGTCAACTTTCTTAATGGCTAGTTGGAGAATTGTTTTTGCGAGTTAACCCACGACCCAACCGCACTCATCCGCCACCCACCCAACCCGACCCGCAGAAGAATGTGGGTGGATTGTGGGTCACAATTATTCCAACTCACTAGTAAGCGGGTGGATCAATTTGAAAAGAAAACTCACCCAACCCGCCCATTGCCCACCCCTATCTGAAAGCCTACTCATTGGGGCTTGAAGTTTGCACAAGTTCGAATACCATGTGCTTAACAAATGGGGGTTACCGGGACTCGAACAAAAGACCTCTTGATGCTCTGATGTCATGTAAACAACCAGTTGATCCCAATAACCCGAGTTTTTTGGTGTGATTCAATTATGGATCTTATACCATATACTAACATGCCTCCTCAAAAGAAAACCAACTCATAAGGGCTTGAAGTTTGCAGAGGTCCGAATTACGTACATGTGCTTAACAATAAGAGTAGTTGGGATTCGAACACAAGACCTTTTAATCACAGTCTGATACCATATCAAGAACCAACTGGTCCTAATAACTCATGTTGTTGGGAGAAGATTAAATATGTTTTTTATACCACTCACTTACACACACATGCTCTCAAACAAAAGTCACAAATGAAAGCCAACTCACGAGTTTGAAGTTCATCATATCTTGTGCTTTAATCAACTATTAATATTGATATCGTGGAGATTCAAACACAAGACCATTGGCCAAACCAAATATGAATTCTAATACCATATTATGAACTAACTAGTCTCACTAATTCAAAGAAAGTTAATTATAAATCTTATACCATTTTACGATAAAACATTCTTATTTAGTGATAAATGGTTCCATCCATGCAAACATTGTCTTATCATCTGTTGACAGGGACAGAGCCAGCTTAAGAGGAGGGGGGGCCATGGCCGCCCTAGAATTTTCAGAATCAGAATATAAGTATAAAGTGTTTGTTATTTGGATCACAAATTAGCTTGTGGCGAAATGATTGGAGATGGTTGTTTTTTTATTACTAATGAAAGAACTAGGTTCGATACTCCCTCTCTTCCTCTGTTTAGTTTTCCACTCTTTTTAATGTAATTTTCTTTTTAACCTCTTTCTTATAGAGATAAATACGTATTCTTCATTTTTACATTTTTCACTCCACTCTTTTTCATGTAATTTATTCCTTTCCTGTAATTTCCTTTTTAACCTCTTTCTTAGGTAAATACGTATTCTTCATTTGTACATTTTCCACTCTTTTTCATGTAATTTATTCCTTTTTATGTCACTTTTTAACGTCTTTTTTAGGTAAATACATATTTCCAATATTTTTTTTAGGTAAATTCTAACTTGTTTATGTTTTTTCGGTAATTTGGATATGTAGTTTTTATTGTGACATATAGTGTGGTCAGTGGCGGACCCAGAAATTTTCCATAGGGGTGTCCTCTTTTAAAAATAAATTTAATAAAAATAATTAATAATCAATAAAAATAAAATCGTAAATTTGAAAATACCTTACTTGTACAGGTTAAGAAAGTTTCATATTCGGAAATAATTGTAGAATACACTTGGTGTCTATAGTGTTAAAAATAATTGTCTCTATATACCCTACTAAACAATCATTCACGAACTTATAACATATTCGATTTGTAAACTTGTTCTCGATGTAACCCAAAGCTGAAAGACTCTTTCAACATTTGTCGTTTTAAGGGTAGCTTGAAATTAGTTTAATTGTTAGGTTTTTAAAATAATTAGAGATAGGAAATGACATTTTACTATTACATTTTTCAAAATCGAACAACAAATGAGTTGTAGGTCAACGAAAATTAAGTTTATTAATAAGAATAGTGTTCTAGATTTGAATTACCCAATCTACCACTTATATTCCTATACACAAATAACAGTAGGATAATCATGTTTTCAAATTTCAGGGGTATCCCTCACTATCAATTATATTTTTTTTTGTCCATACGTAAATTACCACCGGGGGTTGGATAATCGTATTCCCAAAATTTAGGAATGTCCGGGGACACCCCTAAAACCCCCTGGGTCCACCCCTGAGTGTGGTTACATGATACAAGATAAACAGTATGTTGAGGTTCACGTGTATAATCAAGTCAAATTATTTGCATCAAATGAGTTGTGTTGTTGTAATTTTGGGTATATTTTATACAAATATTGTGTTGGGAAAAGAAAAAAATTTCGGCCTCATGTTTTCACTCTGAAGTATAGTGTGATTATATTATAAGAGATAAATCACATATAAGATTCACGTTTATAATCAAATCAAATTATTTAAATCGAATGAGTTGTGTTTTAATTTTAGGTATTTTTTATACAAATATTGTGTTTTGAAAAGAAAATTTTTTGGCCCACTACTCAAAAGTCCTGGCTCCTTCCTTTGTCTGTGGAGCTCCAATATTCTACCATTGAGTCAACCAATTGAAGCGACCCTAGCTCACTCGCTAGAACCTTCTTTTGCAGAAGAAACTTCAATGAGGAGGGGATGTAACCGTCCAATTACCGATCACTATCATCACCAGACCAAGCATGAAAAACAGCATCATCAAGCAGAAAGACAGGACCGAAGGAGAAGAAGCAGAGGCGGCGACAAGATCCATTAATTAAAGAAAGGAAAGCATTATTATCAATGATAGTATTACAAACAAGAAACGATAAACACGATGACAAATGTACAAAGAAACCGACAAACCCACATTGACTTGCTATTAATCAAATTCCTCCAATCCCAACCCCCCTCAAAGCATGGAAAAACAGAGCTTTTCTGGGACAGGGACTGAGACGGAGAAAGATACAATCCAAACCGACCAGTAGACTAAATACCATATGACAGAAGAGATCACAAAACTGTCTCCTTCTGTCGACCTATCACTGACTGACTATCCTACATTACATTACATAACATAATACTTAGACAAAAAGAAGTCGATAAATAAATCTACATAACGGCATGTCTTCTGCAACAAAGAAAAAAGGCTTGTAAATATGCAGCCTTTTCTCTCAGGAAAAGAAGAAGAAGGAAGAGATTTTGGGTAGGTGGAAAATCCCAATTTTTCGCACTCTCACCGGCTGTTTCTGGAAAAAAAACTCACAACCAGTGTTTTTGGTTTCCTGCAAAACTCTGAAACCAAAAACTGTGGAGAAGAGGAAAAGATGGGGAACTTCCAAAACCCAATCGAACCGTAAACCCCATAAAGTAAACCCATCCTCGGAAGAAACTGGAAAGGATCAATCTTGATCCTTCCAAAAGAACGGCTTCATCTGGAAACAAGACGAACTCGAAGGATTAGCTGACCCACTACCTGCCATATTGGTCATGATTCCTCCACCTTGCTGCTGATTAGTATTTGAATGGCTAAATGGGATTTGGGAATTCATCAACAGGTTGTTATTAGCATCCAAATCATCCCATACCGGACTCCCTGGCCCCCACCCTGCCTGAATCGCATTCAGCCAAGCTTCCGCCATTTCTCCCCACACCATTTCCTGTACCCCTCCTTCTCCTCCGCCGCCTTCCACCGTCGCGGCGGCCGGAACTTCATCGGTCACCGAACCCATCCCGGAATCAGTGTCCGGAGCGTGTCTCTCCTCCTCCGCCGGAGGCGGGAGCGAAGCTTCGGACTCTGGCAGATTCGGTTCAGTTTCCGATGGAGTTGGAACAGGGGAAGGCGGAGAAGAAACAGAGGGTTTTTCCTTGTTGAGGAAGAGCTCCGGGAAATTGAGCCGGGCGTTCTCGCCGCGGAGCTTGAACGCCTCGCGGTCGTAGGCCATGGCGGCGTCCTCGGCGGTGTCGAAGGTGCCGAGCCAGAGGCGTGTACGGTTGCGCGGGAGGCGAATCTCGGCCACCCATTTCCCCCAATGCCTCTGCCGCACTCCTCTGTAGAGCCTCGTCGTGTTGATCGGCTGGACCGGCATCGTCGGCCGGAACATCCGCCTGCCGTCCGGTCCGACCACCTGGTTCATCATCAGGAAACGTCCCCTCGGGCTCAGATTCAGCGGGTCGCTCCAGTACCGGTACAGCTGCTGTTGCTGTTGCTGGTGGTGGGCGGATTCCGCCGCGAAAAATGGCGGGAACGGCTTCGTTTGCTGCTGCTGCTGCTCGAATGAAATCATCTGGTTTTGCGGTGGCGGCGGGAAAATTGGGAGAGAAGGGTTGGTGGTAAACTGGGTCGCCGTCGTCGTCGGCGGCGGGGGGAAATGGATGGGCTGATTTGCGGGCATCGACGACGACCCTTCGAAAGCGAAAGGGAACAGAATCCTCGAGCTTGAAGAGTTGAAAGCAGGGGAATTGGAATTGGAAAGAGGAAACAGAGAAGGAGGAGGGATTGAATAAGATTGAGTGACTTGCTGGTGTTGAAGGAAAGAGGGTTGGATGGGAACGTGGCGTTCAGGGCTTCGGACCTTTTTCAGAGGTCTTTGTCTTTCGGCCGTGGAAGCTCCATCTAAAACTGTCCTCCATGGCCGACTTTGGAAGCTCGGATCACCAGCTTCTTCTCCTTCGTGATCAGCTTTTCTGCTCTTCCCAAGCTCCGATTCCCACATCGTCCGAGTTTCATCAACAGCACCCTTTTTGGATTTCCCCATGTTGTTCTTAGCTGCAGCCATTGCTGAATTTCGCCTCAAGCTCTCTCTCTCTCTCTCTGGCAACAATCTAGCTCTCGAAGGATATAGAAAATAAAGTGGGAAAAGTAAGGAAAAGGCACAGACTGATATGGCAAAAGGGGGTTTATATTCTTTGGAGATAGGTCCAGCTGGAAATTGCGTGTTTAGAATCAAGAATGGGATTTGGAATCAAAATGTATCAAGAACCCAATCCAAGCAGAAAGAGCAGAGCAGAGGAAAGGAAAGGAAAAGATCCCAACTTGGTAAAAAAAAAGGAGATAAGAAATCCAGAGGGAATTCAACAAAATCAAGCGGAAGACACAAGTTCGAGAATCTAGATCCGAATACTAGAAACAAATCCGACCCCAAGGAGAAAAAAAAAACATCAGAATCGGATTCGGGGACTGTCAAATCCAGAGAAAGCCATCTTGCTAGAGAGAGAGAGAGAGAGAGCGCGCGCGAGGCAGAGGGGAAACTGAAGCTGGAAATCCAGTACGGGCTGTTGATGACGATGAAGAGAGAGGCAGCAAGTTGGGGAGGTTGCTTCTTTGTCTTTGCGTTGCGGTTGCTTTTCTCTCCAAAAGGGGTTTCGGGAATCTGCAGTTTTGGACGGGACGGAGCGGAGCTATGGGGGAAAAACAGGGGAATGGTGAGAGGAAAGGGAAGGTGAGGCTTAATAGAATAGGTGGTGAGCTGAGAGGAGAGGAAAAGATTTTGTGGGAGGAGAGGAAAATATGTACAAGTCCGCTGGTTGGTCGGTTGCTTGTATCTGATATTTGGGTCGGACCCACACGGGCTGTGCATTGCCCACCCAAACCCCAATTTCCTTGCTTTCACTTCAATTTATTGCTCTGCTCTCACTCACCTTTTGAGATTTATTGCAAGTTAGCAGCGCGGGCGGTGCCCTGGGCCCTGGCCACGGAGGTTGTTATTTGGGCCTTCTTCGTTGCGAAAAGTAAACGAACAATGAGTTCCACTCCACCTAGCCTCCTCGTTGATTGGGATGGGCGGATGGCAATCAAACTCACAACTGCAAGAGTCTGATTATTACTGAACTGATTAACACAAGGAATTTTCGATTTGACTGAGATGGGATGGGTAAAATTAGTAAAAAAGTTTGATAGGATGGGCAGGTGTGGTTTTAGACTCTCCGTTCGACGTTTAGTCATGCATGTATCCGTCCATCAAAATTATTTCTTCATATATAAAATATAGAGAGATAATATTGTAATAGGTTAAAGAAATGAAGGATAATTAAAAATACAAAGAGTTCAAATGTAGTTGAGTCGTCAACCAAACTAAATCTTAATTTCCCCCCCTCCGATTTGCCATTCCCTCCTTCACTTCTTTCTTCCATTTTCGCAAGATCATGTAAATTCCGAGTATGGATCTCCTACAGTAATTTGGGTATAATTTCAAAATAATACTAACTGACAGTGTTGGTCATCACTTGTTGAACTTGTACAACTGTTACGTAAAATACACATCCATCACATAAGATTACGAAACGACAGTTGTTTTCTACGTGATAGTTTATATCAGAAGCATTACATTTAGGCTTCCTCAATGACTTAGTACTTAACGTAACGCGAGGTTAATATTCATTACATAAAAGGACCTTCCATTGCGTAAGGCTTCCGTAATGACTTAACACTTTAGGTAACACAAGGTTAATTTTCATCACGTAAAGGATCATCCATTACGTAAGACTTAGGTAAGACTTTCATAGTGACTTATCACTTTTAGTAACACGAGGTTAATATTCGTTACATACAAGGATCTCTCGTTACGTAAAGTTTCCGTAATGACTTTTTACAACTGTTACGTAAGATAAACATACATTGTGTAACCATTACGAAATGACTATTGTATTTTAGGTCATGTGACCTATGAAACCTACTATAGCAGGTCCAAAAATCAAGTTACCTCACATCAACGTATTGTAAGAAATTCCTAGTTTTTATACTTAGTAAATGTGTCGGAGTTGTAGATGAATGATGTGGATAATATTGTACTTAATTCTACTTATGGATTCATGGATGTTTTAGGAGAACGCATTGAATTCAGATTGAAATGGTTGTATCTTTGTTGATTTCTTGATTTATTAGGTCCATTAACTTATTATTAAATATCTACATGTTGAATTAGAGATGTAGTAATGCTGGATTCACAAGGCGGGTATTACGCACAGGCATTTGAAAACCACCGGTATGGGATGGGGATGCATGTGAAACGTCCCCCGCATGGGTACGGGGTTTTTGTGTGGTTCTGTTTAAAAATGGGATGGTTTAGAGATTTCTGCCCCATTTCAACCCTTAATCATTGAGTGAAAGAATTGTAAACGCGCATGTATATTTTTATTAGAGGTTTTTATTTGCCATCATCTATATTACTATTTGTAGCCAACTTTAAAAAAATTTATTTAAATACGGCTAAGATACTTCCAACAGATGATTTGCGACACTTAGTTGGTGGCGGTCCTCAAAACCAAAGCTAAATAACGTCATCTGCAAAAGGCCGTAGGTTCCCGAGAGCCGGAGCCTCATCGGGCTGAAAAACACCAGCAGTCCATTGTGGTTTCGACTAACCAAAATCATCTTCTCGTCAAATTTCAGCAAATGACATCTTGACACGTGGACTTTGAAATGTACAATTTGCAACGATTTTAGCGATGGTAATTAGTTGACACTAAATAACGCATGAAATCCCATATATGTTATTTGAGAGGTTTTTTTACTATAGCCGACATTAAGTATCATAGCTTTTGCGAGCAACACGTTTCTCACGCCCGGTATCTTGTTAAGCATGGGTACGGGGTTTGTGTGTGGTTCTGTTTAAAAATGGGATGGTTTAGAGATTTCTGCCCCATTTCAACCCTTAATCATTGAGTGAAAGAATTGTAAACGCGCATGTATATTTTTATTAGAGGTTTTTATTTGCCATCATCTATATTACTATTTGTAGCCAACTTTAAAAAAATTTATTTAAATACGGCTAAGATACTTCCAACAGATGATTTGCGACACTTAGTTGGTGGCTAAATAACGTCATCTGCAAAAGGCCGTAGGTTCCCGAGAGCCGGAGCCTCATCGGGCTGAAAAACACCAGCAGTCCATTGTGGTTTCGACTAACCAAAATCATCTTCTCGTCAAATTTCAGCAAATGACATCTTGACACGTGGACTTTGAAATGTACAATTTGCAACGATTTTAGCGATGGTAATTAGTTGACACTAAATAACGCATGAAATCCCATATATGTTATTTGAGAGGTTTTTTTACTATAGCCGACATTAAGTATCATAGCTTTTGCGAGCAACACGTTTCTCGCGCCCGGTATCTTGTTAAGCCAAAAAAAACATTGCTCGTCATGGTTTCGGCTGCCTGAAACCTTCTGCTCGTCCCATATCTAACCTGAAATTTTCCAAACTTATCGAGGCCAATATGTCATCCTATCTCTAGATGGGGCCAATATGTCATTCTACACATTTAAACAATTAAATCTAGGTGAGCTTACATCGATTAGAATGACTTTCCAGTTAGTAGATAAGATGTCTAGACATCATTGAGGCATCCTCAAGGATGTTATCGTTAAGGTAAAACATTTTTTTCCCCTACGGACTTATGGGTTTTGAATACAAATGATTCATATGCTACTCTTTTACTAGGAAGACCGTTTCTAGCAACTGTATGCACATTAGTAAATGTCCATGATGAAAAACTTAATCTTATAGTGGGTTCCCCATTAACATAAAATGTGGGATGAAGCATGCTCATGTTCAAGATGATGACAGTTTACATGATAATCTAAACCTAGCTTCCTTATTTTTCAGTTTCTGCCTTTAGTTATGATGATCCACTTTAACTTTGACTAATTGCAGGACTAGAAGATGAACTGGAAGAACCGGAGGAGTTAAAACAGCAAGCGGAATTGGAATTTTCTATGGATGTGACCAAAGAATAAGAGAAAGTGGTGGAAATTTCTCACATCCATATCCTAAAGACAGCCTACGAGGACCACCAACCCCAAGAGTTGAAACCCTTTCCATCGCATATTGAGTTTACCTCTTTGGCCAATGACTCCAAGCTAGAAGTAATCATAAGCTCGTCTTTATCTTTCAACCAGAAGGAGAGGTTTGTTATGCGTCATTTATTCATATTTTTATCTAGTTGGATTGGAATTTCTTGATATTTGCTATAAAGTAAATTTAGTAGCTTTGGGTGCGTTTTATTCATTTGATGACTTTTGTAATAGTATTTTGGTATTTTCAGGTCATGACATTCTAGTAAATCACCTTGTACGAGTAGTGGACATAAGGACTCGTGGACTAGAACTAAGAAATGGAGTTGTAAAGCCTATCCTAGAAATGTCACCCATTATAGCCTGCCATAACCCAAAATGGCAGATTGCGCGACCTTTTATAGACTGAACTGCTATTTATAGGTCTAATTTTTTTTATTTGTAACCCTAGAAGAATGTAATTACTATTTTACCCTTCCTTTTAAAATATTGAACTTGTTACAACTCCAACCAAACACTCCCGTCTCTCCCAATTCAATTGTCGCCGGATTCCTCCCAAATATTCTCGCCGGCGACGACGACCTCTCGCCGGAGACGTGACTCGCCCCTTCTCTCTCGTCGCCGGTTTCCTCTCAAATACGACGACCACCTCTCCCCGGAGACGACGACCTCTCCCCGAAATCAGAGCGCTTCGCGGAGATAATGTTTGATTTTTGCACGAAGGAGGTGACGACCGGCCGTTTGACCCGCCGCCGGCAAGGGCGACGTCCTGCCGAGGCGTCGCCGGTGAGGGATGAACGTCCTCGCCGGCGGCGTCCTGTTGAGGCGTCGTCGGCGACGGACGAACGTGCTGGCCAAATTTTGTGGCTCTCACTGATTATATATTCTTTGTTTTGCCCCAAGTAGAAGATATATGAGAGGTATTATGACATGTTTTGAGAGGTTTTCTCCCCAAAAACCTGTAGAAGATCTTAACATACGGTCGGTTTGGCCCTGTAAATAAAGCATCTCGGGCTCAATTTTGAAAAAATTTACCGAGGGGTTACTCTGCCTCCATAGGAACTCCAGATGGAAAAAAATGTCTAGAAGCTTCATGGGTAGGAACATATGTAGAAATGGGTCCCTTGGCGCCATTTTAGACAAAAGTCCGTTGTTCTAAATAAGAGGTGAAATCTTCTCTAAATAATGTCTTCCTTATTCTCTATCTCCACGAGATGCTATTTTGATAAGTTGTATAGGTTTGTAAATTCTAGAGGTTCGAAAAACTATTTATAATGTTTCATTCTTAATGTATATATTGATTGGTGGAATGGTTGTAACAATGATATTCATATGATTTATTGCACACCATTGACACAGTTTGGTTGTTAACATATTCAAAGGTTAATAATGACAAAATGACTGGTTAGCCGGTGTGGTTCAGGCTTTCAGCGGTAGCCCATCTGCCATTATATTTGTTTTTGCTCCTGTACTGCACCGTCGTAATTATCCTGCTAGAGAATCCTGATCACCTCTTCAAGTTATTATAAAACACAATTATTTGATATTTGTGTTAACTAGAAAAGTATTGTTGTTGACACCAAAAATTAATTTGACCTGAATTAAATGCCGCATTAATTAGTCTCAGAATTCGATATCGCAGGACAAAAAACGGCGTCGTTTGGAGTCTCGCGGATGGGTAAAACGATACCGCGGATTAGAAAACGATACCACGTGAGGCCTTGGTAAGCGATGCCGATTAATTAAAACCATATCGGGTAAGTTCTTGGTCCAAACTCCGCCAAGCCCAACACAGGTGCAAAGACTCGGCGGTTTAATAAATTGGTACTTTCTGATTATGTTGGACGGTGTTGTTTAGTTAAAAACGACCCCGCGAGTAAGCTCAACGGAACCGCTGTACTAGAAAAATGACAGTGTTTAGTATAAAACAATGTCGTGGAGGATAGAAGCAAACAAAGCTGTTTGGGGAAGAAAACGACACCGCAAGGAAGTTCAACGGCACTGCGGTATTTGAAACAACATTATTTACTAGAAAATAATGTGTGAGCGCCGCAAAAGTTGTGTTGCTGTTGGAAAAGGGATGTTTTTATTTTATTTCTTGTCGGACGAGGAGAGAAACGGAACCGTTTGGAGTCATGAAGAGATAAAACGGTGTCGCGGAACTCAAAGCTCAGCGGCATCGCGAGATTGAGAAACGATATTGTTTGGCTAAAAAACGATACCGCGAAAAGCCTTGGTAAGCGATGTCGTTTAGTTAAAAACCACATCTGCTTGGTCCAAGGGCCTCCAAGCCCAACACGAAATCTCACCAGTTTAATTAATTAATATTTTGTGATTATCTTGGACGGAGTCATTTAGTTGAACCGCGGTGGGAAATTATGGATTTTGGCTCAGTGTCGTTTTGGCCAAAGTCCCGCGTGTCTAAGCGGTTTCGTACTCGTGTGAGTTACACAACAAGGAGGGAGTTATCCGCACGGTTGACAGGAATGAAGAACGTGTGAGACAAAGGCGCGAAGGTGGTTTCTATGACTATGAGGAGAAGATCGGGGTATAAAGATCGAGAAGAGAGAGAAGCTAGAGACGGCAAAATCAAATCTCAAACTGCACCGTTGCAGACTTACCCTTTTTCTCTCTAGTTTTGTAGAACAACTCTGTCAGAGATTTCCTTCGTAGAGTCGTAGATATTTATCGTAGTTGTAGTTCCGGAGCTCTCCATAGGAGTAGAGGTAACGTAATTTAGATCCTCCTTGTTTCCTCATTGTTCGTCGAACACCCTCGTTCGAACGTAGTTTGGAGTTGTGATGAACCGAATAACAATTTTTCTTGGTCAGAAGTCAAAGGTGAATCGATCAAATCAACATCGCCCGACACTCGGCGGTGGATATTTTACGATCGTCTTGGTTTCTATTTAATCGATCAAATCAACAACGCCGACATTCGCCGGTGGATATTTGACGGTTGTTTGATTGTGTGTTTTGTGTTTGCTTGAAAACAGAGCGCATTAAACATGCGAGTTTTGCCATCGAAACAATTTGGCACACCCGGGGACCCGTGTGTTCGAATGGCTCCGCAACGGAGGAATCACGAGGGCGATCTTCCACAAACTTCAGTGGAGGAAGAGCAAATGGTCAACTTGGAGACTGACCAGATTGACGGTTCAAACGACGGTTCGAGCAACAACGCCGGAGGGGAAGTGCCAGCAGTGGCGCAAACCACCGACCAGGGTGAAATTGTGCGCATGCTCCGCCAAGTCATGACTGATAACCAACAGGTAAAACTTCACGTAGCCTCTTTAGATGGACGTTTTGATGGTATTAGCTCTCGGATTTGATGAGATCCAAATCCGAAGAGAATCCTCGAATTCGGATTATATGACAAAAGTACGCAACCTTCCTTCTTTATAAGGATTTTAAAGCTTTTCTCCAACTTGAACAGCTTGAAATAAAAGATAGATGCGGAATCAATCGGACAATCCCAACTCGTGACAAAGAACAATTGGTATATTAAACCAATCGGACAGAATCAACTTGTGGAAAGGGGCAATTGATGTAGGGTAGATGCTCACCACAACTAGACGCGTTCTCTAGTTGATAAGAGACACGTACAATCTCTTGGAATCCTCGACAGAAGTCTTGCACAAAAGAACTCGTTCACAATGAACTTGAGCTTAACTTTGATTGATAAATTGAATATTGGGTACAAAATTCATAGGTCTTACATCCTCTATTTATAGAGGTCACAAAAACATAAAACCAACCTAAAAGGAATAGGAAAACAAATCACAAACTAACTAGGAAACATAATACTACTTAAATAAGGACTATAACTCGTTTTTATAACCAAAGGAAGATCCTTAGCAGCTAAGTAATCTCCAAACACGTTTTTAATGCTTAAGAAAGCTCCTTAGTGGTTAAGCAATCTCTTTCCTCGTCCTTTTCACATTTGGATGACTTGGGTAACAAGGATGGACGTTTTGGGCTCCAAGAAATGGTGTATGCTGGTTCCTTAATGCATTCTCCATTTTATCCATCAAGAATGCTCTCAGTTGATCCTTAAATTGTTGAATTTGAACCTTCATTTTGGGACCACGAGAATTGAATATCGCGCTAGTCGATATCGCATCATTCCCTCTCTCTTGAAGAAGATTCGACCTCGAATCTTTGTAGAATCTTGATTGCTCATCACCTCCATTCTTCTTGGTCTTCCAACATAATTTTCTTGGTAGTGAGGATCGTATTATCCTCCCCTTCTCGAAGACAATTCGTCCACGAATTGCATAGACGCTATAATGACGAAAACCCTCCAGATAGCTCTGGACTTCTCCTCGCATCTCTAGCCGTACTTCATCTTTAGAAATAGTATCTCTAATCACAAAATCCATAAAAGCAAATTCAGGAACAATTGGTAAATGCTCCATAATTTCCAATCATTCATCTCCTCTTTTGAATTTTGTTTCATCAATGTATTGTTTAACTTCTTGTGCACTCAAATCAGGAACATCAGCAAGAATATCTCCTTTTACTTCTTCTGCCTCTTCTTTGACTTTCTCTTCTACTTCAAGTTTTGGTTCTTCTCGAGATGAAATCAAAGCTTGTGAATCCTCTTCATAAGTTACTATAGTAAGCCCATCAACAAGAACCTCTTCTTTCTCTTCCACGTCTTCTTTGACTTCCTCTTCTACTTTGGCTTGTAACCCTTTCTCTTTCTCCTTCTTCAAATTGTGTTGCATTTGAAGTTGATCCTCATAGATTTCTTTGGGAGATAAAGGCTTCAATACAAACTTCTGACCTCTATGCGACCACTTGTACTTCTTGGTGACTCCATCTTGTTGTCCATTTCGATCAAACTGCCATGGTCTTCCAAGCAAAACATGAGCCTCTTCCATTGGCACCACATCACAAAGGACTTCATCTTTATAGCTTCCAATCTCAAACTTCAATATGGCTTGCTTGGTGACCTCAATTGATCCATCTTGATTAAGCCATTGAAGAGTGTAGGGTTTCAGATGTTGCAATATGTTTAACCCCAGTTTCTTCACCAAATATTCACTCACCAGATTAGTGAAACTCTCTCCATCAATCATAACCGATAGTAGCTTACCATCCACTAAGCATCTCGTTTGAAATTTATTCTCTCTTTGCTCGAGGTCTTTCTTTGGATTTGGACTCACTATCGTCAAAGGAGCTTCGGGTTGGATTACCATTGCTGGCGCATTATTCCCCTTTAATCCTTGAAAAATAACTTCTGTCGTCTTGAGCATTTGCTTCATCATCTCCATCGTTCGTTGATTTTGCTCCATTCCTGGTTTTCAAAGGCTTCAAGAAATATTCTGTTTTGCCGCTGAGTTTGAACCGGGCTCTTAATACCACTTGAGATATACAAATCCGAAGAGAATCCTCGAACTCGGATTATATGACCAAACTACGCAACCTTCCTTCTTTTTAAGGATTTTCGAAGCTTTTATCCAACCTGAACAACTTGAAATAAAAGATAGATGCGGAATCAATCGGACAATCCCAACTCATGACAAAGGGCAATTGGTATATTAAACCAATCGGACATAATCAACTCGTGGAAAGGGGCAATTGATATAGGGTAGATGCTCGCCACAACTAGACGCGTTCTCTAATTGATAAGAGACACGTACAATCTCCCGGAATCCTCGACAGAAGTCTTGCACAAAAGAACTCGTTCACAATGAACTTGAGCTTAACTTTTATTGATAACTTGAATATTGGGTACAAAATTCATAGGTCTTACATCCTCTATATATATAGGTCACAAAAACATAAAACAACCTAAAAGGAATAGGAAACAAATCCCAACTAACTAGGAAACATAATACTACTTAAATAAGGATTATAACTTGTTTTTATAACCAAAGAAAGCTTCTTAGCAGCTAAGTA